TTCTATCTTTTATAGTCTCCGAGAAAATCAATAAAACGTGAATTACAGCCAAATAGAACTTGCAGCATCTTTTGGATTTATTCTATCTATTATAGTTGAATTTGTGATTGAGAAATTTGCAAATGTTAAAAATTGCTATATTTTCAGGTTTGCAATGGAGAAACACTTCGTGCAAGGAACCCACCGCAATTCGAAAAGAATCCTCAATACTCGAACTCGTACATTCCAGCGGGAATGCAGATCATCGCCCATCTCACCGAGCTGATGAAGTACGAGCTGCGGCCGACGAAACCTGGCACTTCGGGGACGTCGACCACCACGTCTAGACCGACCCCACCGCACAGACCAGGCCTCTACGCCCCAGAATCTCCGCTAGGAATGAACGCGTATTTCGCGTTGAAGCGAAGCGATCCAAGCGCATTGTAAGACATTAAATTTATCAATAAACTCAATGATTTTTGCGTTGTTTCAGCGATTTGAAATCGTTGGATCTGCTGGAGCTGATGAAACGTCTGGAGCCCGGATTCAGGATTTCGGACGTCGATGATCTGCAGCTGCTGGGATCCGGTCCGTACGCCCTCAACAACCTGGTGAACGGCCTCAACGGTGAAGACGGCGAGCAGGACGAAGACGTGCGAGTCATCAAGTTCGTGAATCAGTACGACGACACACACATCGACGACGATTTCCTCAGGCAGAAGAAGCAACCGCCGACACGAGCGTACGTCACGTTGCTTTCGCTCTACGACCTCCTCAACAAGGAGTCCAAAAAGATAAGCCTCAACAAATTCAACGTGAGTCTTTGTTCAACAACATCTTAATACTTGAGTAAACATCTTAAACCAGTTATTTCCAATACGTTAACTTCTCTTTTTGGTAATAAATATCTTATTTATTATCTTGTTATTTTCAATACGAATCGTTTCAGGGCTTAAGATCTCTTCTTTTGAAAAATCACAACTTAATACTTTCACATCATGGCTTAAGTTCTCCTCTTTTTGTACAAACTAACACTAAAATGATCACTTGTTTTCAGGGCTTCTCCAACAGAGTGCTGAAGGATCTCATTGAAGTTTCCAGTGGAACTGCAGCCTTCCAATTGGAACACGTCCTGCGGAAGATCGTTGACAACAGGAACACCAACGACCAGATGATCATCAGCAAGATCAACGCGATCTTGAGCGAAATGGAGAAGACGGACAGTTACATGAGCATGGCTTTAATGTACGTCCCACCGCTCCCATACGAAGCCTGAGCATCGATGAAACCTCTCTGTAAATTGCAATTACTACTACTTATAATTAAATACACTTAATATTATTAGTTTTATTCATTGAAAACCTAACGTAATCAAATAAGAAAGAAATAAAGTGTAATATTAAAGTATTAAATATATTATATTTAAAAAATAAAAAGAAGAAAGGAAACAATCACATTTTACACATATTTTCATGTATATATAAAAAGAAAAGAGGAAACAAAGAATATGCATACTTTGGAATTGGTAATTTTTCTTCTACGTCGGGAATGAAAACTAAAATTTGTTCCCAAAAAAATATATATATATGAGTAAGATTTCCTAGCTTTTTTGGACCTAGTCTTCACGTATATATGTAAATATATAAATTAGTTTGTATACAGTCCCAAGAAAATCGATGCACGGTTTGAACAAAATTTCTCACTTCTAAAAACGAAATTACAAAACAAACCGAGTTTGCACGACCTAATTTTCATCATGCTAGATAAAAATAAAAAAAAAAACATGTTTATTTTTATTAAAAACTGAATAGAAATAATTGTGTGTAAATCGTCAAAAGTAATAAATACAAAATTGGATGCTGGCTGCGTCGCAAAACGTTCAATTAATTGCACTTGAATAATTTTATTGTTTCTTTGCTTTGTTCAACTAGTCGAAGAAAAACAAAAATATCCACTTCCACACAGTCTTTTCTTCATCATCATCATCATCTTCTTCACTTAATTTTTTAGTTCGCACAATTTTGTATTTACTTCACAAGAAAAAAAAAATATAAACGAAGTCGTTACTATTTTCTTCACCGTTTCGAATTTTCCCTACTTACATCTAAAGAACGTACTGTTGCTGCTGCTGCTGCTGCTTACTTACAAACAACAATATCAAAAAAAAAAATTATATTATACAACTCAATTGGAAACTAATCTTTGCTGGCCTTGCCGGTAGCCGTCTTCTTGCTCAATCGCTTGTGGTAGCTCTGCGCGAACGAGTTCACTATCGAGACCACAAAGTACAGGATCATCGCGAAGACGAAGAGCTCGAAGACGGAGCTGAGGACGGATCCGCCACCGCCGGCGGCGGCTGCAGAAGCTTCAGCCGCCGCGCCTTTCGAATGAAGTTTAGTCTTTTGGCCGTTGAGGAAGGTGCGGAACGGAACCTCCAGATGACCGCCGATCATCGGAATCACAGTTAACCAAGAGAGTGCGCTGTTGATGAGCGTCTCGTTGAAGGCGATGATCACGAACATCTTCTGGATGTGCATCTTGATTACAGCTTTACCGATTAGCGTAGCACCGAAGAACGTCCAGAACGGAACCAGGAAATGCCCGCACGTGATTCCGGCCAAATCGAAGAGCGGGTTGGGAATCTGTTAGTGTTAGAAGAAGTTGAATTTTTTGATGTTTAAATTTACGTTTAAAACTTACGCTGGCGCAGGCTAGGATGCCCATGAAGCCGACTTTCTGGACGATGTGCTCGACGAACAACTTTCCCTTATCGAGTAGCGTCAACTCTTCGCGTTTCTTCTTTTGAAGCTCCTCGAATTCGGCCAGATCGTCATCATCGTCGTCCGGTTCCAAGCTACAATAATAGCTTAATATGAGCGAGTTTCAATTAATTTAGAATGATCTTACCCAGAGAGTCTGGCCGCTCTGGCCATGAAATAAGGAGGAAGCTCTCCTAGAGCGGTGCCGGCGCCCCAGCACATCGCCTCCAAACGTACCTTGGACATGATTCCCAAGATCGTGACAACGGCGCCTTTGGTAACATCAACAGGGCAAATAATTCTGTAATAATTTATATAATCAATTATATTGCATTGCAATATATAGAAAGAAAGAAATAAAGAAACTGCACTCACTCATCGGGATAGGGTGGTTCTGGGAAATCCAGACTTCCGCACTCGTACGCAGCCATGGTGACTTTAGCAATATGCGGCCCCAGATAGAGAAGGAACGTGTGCAACCCCGTGCCTAGGCCGACAGAAGATAGGATTCCCAAACCCGCCCAATACGAGCACCACAGCAGCTGCTTGTAGATGGAACTCATGTAGATCTGATGCGGTCCTGCCATATTCAGACCGGTGGTTACGGCGATAATAAGCGATATCACGAGAACGACGAATTTCTTGTAATTGAATAACCTGCAATGGATGGAAAACGAAGAGTTTTACTTCTACCTCAAATGAATCAAATCACACTCACTTCTTTCCATAAGTCCCTAACAACACCATCAATTCTTTGGCAAAGTACTCCAGCGTGGTGAAGGGTCTCTTCCACAGCACCAGACTCTCCCTGTCGCGTTTCTCCTTCTTCTTGTCCGACGGTTTCAACGCCGTCGCCTGGGACGCCGAAGCGCTCCCATTGAGCTGCACATTTTTCCTGCTCGACATCTTATGTCCCAAACGTTGCAACTAAAAACAAAAACAACATTAACTTCTTCTTCGAAAAACATTCAACAACAAGCTATAAATGCAACAAAAAAACAACAACTACACAAAACATAATAAATAAGCGATTACTGATAATAAAAAGCAATCAATACATAAAAATAATTGCATTATTGTTGTCAAATTTACATTGAAATATACGTTGCATTCACTTACAAGAGAGTGCATGTTAATGACCAGCGATTCCATCGTGGTTTTTCGGCAAACTGAGAGAGGAGAAAGGTTCTGCACGAAGAGAAACCAAGCGTGTTTTTTTTTTTTTGGGAGAAAGTGGAAATTCGTCGGGGGAAAAACGAAGATGAAAGAAGTTAAGATTTCTAAGTTTTCCCGGCCACTTTCTCATCCACTCTTCAAAAACCAATCAGTAATAGGTTTAATTTGCATAGAGGATTTAATAGTTTCCTCGAGAGGTTGCAATTGCGTGCAATCATTTCGAAAGCAAGAAATTATACTCAGTTTTCTTTTACTGCCACTGCAATTTGCTGCCGTTATAGAGTAGAAAATTGCTCATTAAAACTTAAATAAATTAGAGATTTCCTAATTCAGTATATTTTAAGTCTAACGCATATTTAGACTTTAGATGCCAAAGATTGAACGAAAAACAGTGATTAGGGGAAAACGCAAACGCGATAAGATAAAGGAATTTAGTGCAATTCGCTCGTCTTTAAGTCTACGACCTATTGTTCGAACTAAATCAACAAGTTTACAAACATTACACAAATCAAGCAAATTTCGAATAATTACTAAGTTAAGAAGCATCTAGCAATTGTAAGAGTACAAAGTCTAAATACAAAATTATGTGTAAAAATTTGTAAATTGTTAAAGTTGAATGCGAAAAATTATGATAATTACAAAACTATAGTTGTGTATTATCTCAATGCTAGTTAGACATTGGATGCTACGAGGATTAATTTTATATTTAGGTCAAGAACAAAAGGAAATGGAAAAATCACGTGAGTCTAATTTTATCACGTGCGAATGAAATGCGACAGCGCCAAGTGCGATGAAAAATATACAAAAAAAAAAAAAGAATAACGCTAAGGCAAAACAATTGTGGAAAATCAACGTAAAGCAAAACCAAAAAAAGAACGTAAAGCGAAACTGAAAACAAAACAAAAAAAACAGATAGGTTCATACCAGTTCGAGCTTAGTGCCGGCAGTCTTGAGGCCGCGCTTCTTGCACTCGACCTGCAGCTGCTGCCTGGTGAGCATCGACAGGTCGTCGCCGACGCCGCACCTGCCGCCCCCCGTCGGCGTCGCGACGCCACCGCCCCTCAACTCAGACGCCGCTCTCTGCGACGTCCTCGAGCGTACCTTTTTGCCGGCCATATATCGCACGCGCACACAAAAGTTTCAAAATGAAAAACAAAATAAACAACCCAAAAACAAAAACAAAATCAGAACAGAAGCGCTGCAATTTCCGTACGAAAGAACGAAACAAAACAAAACAAAAAAAATGCTGACGAAATGATGAAATTGAAAACCAAAAGTATAATTACTTCAAAAAAAAAATTAATAAAATAAAGCGCTCGATTGACAGGATGACAAGAATTGCACGCGTGTACAAATGAGTAGTGTAAGTGTGCAGCGAAAACAAACAAAGAAATGTAATATAAATTTTATGAATTAATGAATTAAAGCCTAGTTGGTTATTAAGCTGAACATAACCTATGAAACTCTGTACCCCCACAGCCGAGCTATACTAAAGCCACAATGATGATGGATAGGTGTGATATCGCTTTAATTATGATGCGACTACTTACTTTGTTATCACTAAATTATATTTATATAACTACGAACAAAAAAAAAACTACTATCACAACTGTAGCATAATACACAATGACTAATGTTATTGACGCACACCGACCGCTGCTGCCACTGACAGCTGTCACCGAATGTCACACTCGGCAGTAGTGCCAAAGCAATATTTCGATTCGTTTGACCTACTCAATCTTATGCAACCTTATTAGCAAATGTATGCAACTCAATTTGCATCTCTTTAAAAAAATGAATAAAATTCAGATTAACTCAAGAAAATTCGTAAATCTATTTTGAGCTATATTGTAATTGAATAATTTGGGTAGAAATCATTTAAAAAAATATAAAGATAAACAATAAAATAAATCCAGTTTCATTTCGAACTACTTAAACGTCAGGTACTTTGAACTACTTAACCTATAATAATAAAAAAACAAATGAAATAAAAACAATAGATTAGTTAAGTGGATATGTGATCATAGTGTGCACGATGGCAGAGACTGCAGCTAATTATTACTTAACGTCGGAGACGAACCCTTCGATATTCGAGATCATAGCGCAGAAATCGCTGAACGTGACCCTCGAACCCGCGCTAAGAAAGGTCGCCGAGTTCCTTGCCGCCTCCAGCCCAAACCGCTTCGGATGGCTGAATAAGTATTACGATGAGACTTTCATGGCTTTGAATGGTTTATTGCAATACCATTACTTGAAGAACCATAGTAAGTCATCAATTGATCATTAACTAAAGTTAATAATCTAAATCTACAATAAACTTAGCATTACAGATACACAATTATTATAGTATAAAAATTAACATTTTGCAGGCGCTTCATTTGCCGAGTATTTTTACGGATTGAAGCGGATACGTTTAGACGATTACGAGATTACGAAATGCGAAAAGATAATGTCTTGGAGCATCTTGGTGATTCTGCCTTATCTGAAGAGCAAATTGGAGGAGAAACTTCAGGATTACAGATTGGGCATCGCGGAACAATCCATACCGAACAACGTATATTTAATCAATCAATTAATCATAATTTGTTTCAACATTAATTCTTTTTTTTTAAAGAATTTCAAGGGTAAATTGATTAGAACGTTGATCTTGGCGCATTCGGGTTACGAGGCGACTTGGGGCTCCTGGGTTCTCATCAACTACCTGAGGTACATGTCTAACATAGAGGAATCTCAGTTACCTGCGCTCAAGTTGCTGCAGCTCAAACTGATCTACTCGGACGTCGAGAACGATTTCCACTCCTTCTGGTCGTCACTCCTCAAAGGTCAGATGAGCTTTTCCGAGTTGAGCGTCGGTTTAGCGCAGAACGCCGTCCGAAGCACTCTGGAGATTTCGGCTTTCTTCGTGCAATTCCTGCAGGCTTGGAACAAGGAGAAGGCCAACTTCAGCATAACCGCATTACCATCGATTCCTCCACCAGAAGTAAACAACAAATCATTAACTTAAAAAAACATACATATTTAATACGAATTCGAATAATTTCAGTTGGATAGCAAAGCGAAAAATTATAAAGAGAAATGCCCAATCTGTTTACAAACCTGGAAAGTACCTACTGTTCTTCCAGTCTCCGGGTGAATATTCAAATCATATATACTGAGAATATAAATAGATAAATGTTGATAATTTTAAATTTTCAGGTACGTCTTTTGCTTCAGCTGCATTATAAATCACCTGAGAGAAAACGGGACGTGTCCTGTCACAAATTACCCTGCAAAAGCTAAAGATGTCATACGGTTGTATTAATTCCTTTTTAATTTTTTAATTATTTCATCATTCGGTCTAAGGATTTGTACATTTTATATACAAGTGGTGTGATTCATTTTTTTTTAAGTAAATTTGTAAATAAAAAGAGAAATGTTGTTTATTAAAAATCTAATATATTCATTTTTATTCAATCTATATTTTGTTGTCGAAACACAATTATATATAAAAATATCACTGAAACTAAAAAAAAAGAGATAAAAAATAAATAAATGTTAGCAAGGGTTGATAAATTCGTGCATAATAAATTGATTATAAGAATTAATAAATTCATGCAAAATTAGTGAATTTAAAAATAATAATGGGTGGAGCTTGAATGAAAAAGGGGGCGTGGTTGTGAAAGCAACGAATGGTGTGCGTTTACACATGCATTTGAAACTCGTTCAAAAAAAAATGGGTGGAGCTGGAATGAAAAAGGGGGCGTGGTTGTGAAAGCAACGAAAGGTATGCGTTTACACATGCATTTGAAACTCATTCAAAAAAACAATGGGTGGAGCTGGAATGAAAATGGGGCGTGGTCGTAAAAGCAACGAATGGTGTGCGTTTATACATGCATTTGAAACTCATAAAAAAAAATGGGTGGAGCTGGAATGAAAAAGGGGGCGTGGTCGTGAAAGCAACGAACGGTGTGCGTTTACACATGCATTTGAAACTCATTAAAAAAGGTGATTGGAAATTCGATTTGGTCCATGCAAAATGCAACACAGATCATATCCAGTTAGTGAAACAACGTCCACACAAAGTTAGTTAATTAGAAAAGAAACACACAGACATTAATTAACACACCACAGTAAAAGCTTGAGGGGGCGGCTCCAAAATAAAACCATTTATACATACAATTGTGTCCCGTCACAAATTACCCTGCAAAAGCTAAAGATGTCATACGGTTGTATTAATTCCTTTTTTATTTTTTAATTATTTCATCATTCGGTCTAAGGATTTGTACATTTTATATACAAGTGGTGTGATTCAGTTTTTTTTTTTAGTAAATTTGTAAATAAAAAGAGAAATGTTGTTTATTTCAAAAATCTAATATATTCATTTTTATTCAATCTATATTTTGTTGTTGTCGAAACACAATTATATATATATATAAAAATATCACTGAAACTAAAAAAAAAGAGAGAAAAAATAAATAAATGTTAGCAGATGAAGGGTTGATGCTTCGCGCATGATAAATTGATTATAAGAATTAATGAATTCATGCAAAATTAGTGAATTAAAAAAAACAATGGGTGGAGCTTGAATGAAAAAGGGGGCGTGGTTGTGAAAGCAACGAATGGTGTGCGTTTACACATGCATTTGAAACTCGTTCAAAAAAAAATGGGTGGAGCTGGAATGAAAAAGGGGGCGTGGTTGTGAAAGCAACGAACGGTGTGCGTTTACACATGCATTTGAAACTCATTCTAAAAGGTGATTGGAAATTCGATTTGGTCCATGCTAAATGCAACACAGATCATATCCAGTTAGTGAAACAACGTCCACACAAAGTTAGTTAATTAGAAAAGAAACACACAGACATTAATTAACACACCACAGTAAAAGCTTGAGGGGGCGGCTCCAAAATAAAACCATTTATACATACAATTGTGTCCCGTCACAAATTACCCTGCAAAAGCTAAAGATGTCATACGGTTGTATTAATTCCTTTTTTTTTTAATTATTTCATCATTCGGTCTAAGAATTTGTACATTTTATATACAAGTGGTGTGATTCATTGTTTTATTAAGTAAATTTGTAAATAAAAAGAGAAACGTTGTTTATTTCAAAAATCTAATATATTCATTTTTATTCAATCTATATTTTGTTGTTGTCGAAACACAATTATATATATATATATAAAAATATCACTGAAACTAAAAAAAAAAAGAGAAAAAATAAATAAATGTTAGCAGATGAAGAGTTGATGCTTCGCGCATGATAAATTGATTAAAAGAATTAATGAATTCATGCAAAATTAGTGAATTTAAAAAAAAACAATGGGTGGAGCTTGAATGAAAAAGGGGGCGTCGTTGTGAAAGCAACGAATGGTGTGCGTTTACACATGCATTTGAAACTCGTTCAAAAAAAAAATGGGTGGAGCTGGAATGAAAAAGGGGGCGTGGTCGTGAAAGCAACGAATGGTGTGCGTTTACACATGCATTTGAAACTCATTCAAAAAAGAG